GATCAAAATTCAGGGAGCACATCCATAATCAAGACCAATTAATCTGCTAATATCCCCCCAGTGTTGCGATAATGGCAACATTAACGGGGCTCATCTGCCCCGCCGCTGCTTTGCTAGGTGGCTGATTCACAACAAGAAGACACCGAACGCTATTTGTTGACAGGTATTTCTTTTTTTCCTCCCCTCCGGCATTCATATCACCAAAGTCAATTTGAATAAACTACTGTCATCTCCCATAAGGGCTGATCCCACTACACAAATTCCCTCCCGCTAAACAGGTTTGCAATCCTCAATGAAGTGGCGCGTATAAATTACCCCGTCCCGTCTAGCAAACAATATGAGCTGTGACAGATCATATAAAGAAAACATTTGTACATCGGCAGCAGAAAGTGTCTTTAACATGCGGCGGTTGGAAGGAAACGGGCGAGGCCATCGAATAAAAGACGCATTTTACAGGAGGAACGAGAGAATAACCGGGATGACTGGCTACGGCAAGATGACAACAACAGCCGTCCACCTTTAGAAGAGGTGACAGAATCAACCGCTTTCACTCACGTCTAAGGAAGGGCAAAAGAAAACAGTTAAAGTCTACAGTGTCTCATCAAAAATTTATACTTTGAAAGTTTGTACTAAAGAAAAATGCCATTTGTTTTTACCCCCTTTACTTTGATTGCCATAACAACTTGTATGTTAAAGGGGCTTACCCAGGGTCACAACTACAAATTATTCAGGTGGATGTGAACACATAAATTGGCGCCCCCACCCGAAGGAAGGTACGTGAAGGTGAAGGAGCACACGCGCTACATTTCTCAGGTGGATGCCTACACAGTTTACACTTGCAGTGGAGTGATTGTAGTTGGCTGCGAACTTGCAGATGTGACCTTACTTCCAGTGTAGTGGAAGTCAGAAATACTGCCACCTGCAGATGATTGTTGGCAGTCACTTAAGTTGTCAAAAATATTGTTGACAATTTTTGCAGAAAATTTGGAATAAACACAAATATGTATCAGTGTGAGAAATTGCTGGGGTATGTTGATTTATATTATACGATCACATAATTACAAAGAGCTAAATATACTTTCAGAATCTGAGAGGTTATGCTTGAAAATTGATGTTCACAGACACTTTGCGTCTATTCTGACAGTTATTTTGGAAAGAACAGTCAAATATGTCTGAATACCAATGTATGCCGCACTTTTCAGATTTATTTAAAAACCATCAAATTCATATTTTCTATGGTATGAGCAGGAACAGCTTGAGACGTTAATGTAACTGAAAAAGCTTGCTTTAAGTTCAATCTATTTGCTGTTTGCTACTCTGTCACATAAACTCCAGAAACCGAAGTTGCACTCATACAGATCAATTTCTACACTGTTAACTCAATTGAGTAAAGGCTTGTGAAAATTTCTGTTGTCAGACATCCATGTAAATGAGCAGCATGATGCACTCTGAGCGCTCTTAAAATCCTCAACTGCTGCTGACTTTTAAGCATTCATAATAGATGGATTTTACCTTTTATAATTCAACAGAAAATGGAAACATGCCTTGATGGTGATTTGCAGAAGAATGTGCCAGTTGGGACTTATTTAAAATTCCATTATGTGATGTGTTCTTCAGTAAAAAGAACTAATGTAGAGATACAAAGTGCAATATTCTTCTTGGAGTTATTCATATGGACATAAATAAAATTATTTTTTAAGTTTATTATTTTTTTGCTTGCTTGTAGGGAGAAGTCAATTAAAAACACCTTTTTATAGAAACGACGTGGATAATTGGAGAAAAAAAAAGTTCTATTATAGCAGGCTACTGTGGTATTGACACTGCATTTCACAGGATTTTATAGACCGAAGAAGAAAGACTATTAAATGTACTGAACCTTGGAACAAAAATCATAAACCCCACAAGAAGAAAGCTCTGACTTTATATAGAAAAAAATCATTTTACTCCAGAGAATGATGGAAAGCTTACATCAATTTTAAGCATATAGGCCAGGGATTTTTAATTTTTTAGGAATCATTTTAATGGATTTTTTTTTCTTTGACTTTTGTATGTCCTTTCCCTAAAGATGGAGAATCAATAAGAGCTGGATGTTCAGGTGCAGTTATGCTCAGACATGTTCTCTCAGGTGGAGAATAAAAAAGGGGGCATTTTACAGTCTGTTTACAGGTTTATATCTACAACATGCAACCTGGTCACAAAACTCAAGAGATGAAAAGGCAAGTTTGATCGCTCTGAAACATGCAAGAATTTATTGTTACAAAAGAAAATAGGTGAATCAGAATATCAGTTACGTTAATTTATTTGAGCAATTATATTCACAAAGAAAATTGTCTAACATGAATGTATTAAATACAGAATGGTGTATTTCAACTGTTTATTTCAAAGCAGCTTTGAGCTAATGAAAAGCTAGACCACTTCTGCTAATCCAGTAATGTGCTAGCACTGGAGCTAATTTTTCAATTAGTGCTTTTGCTAACTTTGAAAATGTTTAACGCACTTAGTTTCTCCAAAATTAGCGCTAATTTATTTGGCTGCTTTGTAAATGTTCAGTTGACGTTTTGCTTATCACTGTTATGAATTCTTTAATGCCTGGTTCACATGGCAGATATTGATAAAGTTTGTAATGGAAACACAGCTATTAACACATGCTGGATAGCAACATAATTGAAGTTGGTGCTTTAGCCATTTAGCGTTAGCTTCTGCTAAATACCGCATTGGTGTAAAGCTTTAGCAAAAGTTAATAGCTTTATGGCTAGTGTAACTAACTTTTTAGTTACCTGTGCCAACCACTGCAGAGGACCAATAAAATACTTTTTTTAAGTTTAGAAATGCACTGTTATCTAAATGGTAGGACCACACAAGGAGCCTGTTGACTTGACAGTTGTTCACCAGGTGGTCAGCAACATTTAAGCAGGGTTAGCCGTAAGGAAGCTGTCTGATTACTGTGCTGTATTCCAGCATAGTGATGAAAAGGTGTAAGAATAAAAGTTTGGTGTAGAAATTTATTTTTTAGAAAAATAGATGCTTTGAATGTATTGGTAGGCTACTGTTAAGAAAATAAATTTAAAATATGCTACTTTTTAGACTTGATTATATGTTAAAAATATTAGACAAAATTAATAGTGTTTTAAATAAGAAAATTCGGCTCCAAATTATGTCCATGGTTCAGTCAGCGTAATCTCGTATATAAGATATTTCTATTGAAACACAATACACTAAGTTGAATTAAAATATTAGTTCTCTATAATTTAAAACACAGCTAGTTTTTCTGTGACCTGATCAGGCATCACGAGGGGGTCGAAAACTCTCTCCACATAGGAGTCTTTGTGTGTTTAACCCTTGGCTGAGCTGATAGGGTTTTTAACAGCTGGAGTTGTAAAAACAATCTGATCTTGTCGCCAGAGTAGAGCTTCCTCTCAGGACAGGGTAATAAAAAACATCACCCCACTCAAAAGAAAATAACACTACTTTGATCTTAAAAAAACAAGCTTTTACTGGAACATGGTCAACTAGATTTAAATGAACTTAGCTAAGGACAGTCCCCTAATCTGAATGCAGCAGAGAAGGAAAACACGCCTTTCCTTTAAAAGTATAGGACCCAGAACCTTAACTTCAGATCGCTCCGGGGTTACCCATGATGCTGTCTTCGGGGAACGGTGCGTCGGTAAAATGCTTCCCCGTAAGTTTGTCTTTGTGTGTCGATGTCTGTGTAGTGACGTAAATATTGGACTGGATTTCGGTTTGTGATTTTATTATGTGTGATGTCAGCTTCATTAGTTTGTTCGTCTAATCAATGTTGTTATGATTGTAAGCGTTTGTGTTTGTGGCTCAGCTGATACAATGACGTCATCGAGGAATCTGGGCAGAAGATTTTAATTATTCTTCTTCTGAATTAAAATTAACAGTACAAATATTAAATGGTTATTTTAACAGAAGGTTTCTGTATTTAAAATCCTCTCTTTGTTGGTCTTATGTAATTCAAGTCTTGAGTTTTTTTCAACGTAAGTTGTCAAAATGATTAAAAATAAATGCTTTAAATAAATCCTTCTGTGATCTTGGGGAATAAATACAACACATAAAAACTTCACTTGTAAATCAAATTAATAAAATTCTTAAACGTTTTCATGACATTGTAAATTATAGAACGTCATTATCACCAAACAGTTTCCTCGTGAAAATCTATACAAAAACCTTTCTGAATGTGAAAGCCTGGTCTTTCCTCCTCGAGGCCAATATACTGAAGATCAATAATTCCATAAATCTACGCAAGCCTGCCAACAAGGAAGGTCAACACAGAAGAAATAACAATAACACAAGTGAACCGTGCAAATAGGGTCACAGTGAGGGTACAGTTCAGCGAATAAGTCAGCAAGTCCCCCAGGAAGCCAAGGAGGCCAGAACACCTTCCCCCTGTGGAAATAGGACATGAAAAACAGCCACGTGCACCGAATAAAACCGCCCAACGCGCTGCACTCTATACCCGGCTCACATTCATTTTTAATGAAGTGTAATAAGTCATAACACCATAACACCGGAGCAGAAATGCAATCCACCGCCCAGATGATCAAAAGGCACAAGGACTTCCTCACACCGCATATCCTCTGACAGAGCCAGAGGCGCCGAGGCAGGGAGCTGAACCGCTTCAGCATCTCCACAAACACAAACAGCAGCCGATGCGTCTGTGTCTCACCCAGTAACGACGACACGGAGGTGCGGGGGAGGAGAGAAAGAAAGAAAAAAAAGTCATTCTCCCTTCGTGCTTTATCAGAGGGCAGTGACTGGATGCTTCATTCAGCTCTGGTCATTTTTTATTTATCCTTTCAAACACTTTGGTTTAGTTTTTCAAACAGCTGAAACGAAACATGGTGCGGGTCCACTCGCTGCCAAAAGCTAAGAAAACATTCATTTCAAACACGTGTCTACTCCTTGGCAGGGTCAGGGTCTCTGTTGAACGGGCTGAAAAAGAGAGACGGTGATCAAATGGAGGGACACGGAAATACCTTTTACTGTAACACTTCCTGTGCTGCTCGCCACTCCAAACTGGTTTCTTGCAACGCAGGTGTAGAGGCCGGCGTCCAGTTTGGTTACGTTCCATATCCGAAGGCTGCCATTGTCCAGGATGGAGACCCTGTGGTTAAAAAAGAGAATATTAGTACTATTAATGTTATTTATCTTGGTAAGATTTATGCTTGAGATTAAAATTATTTTTTCCATACACTAAAACACTGCAAATCATTGACAAACCATTGCCGCAGTGAATCATCGTGATGGTTTTCAAGACAGAAAAACTGGTCAGTTATCTTTTTTAAAGCTAAAACAGAGAAAAACCACAGGAGAGCAACAGGAACATCAAAAATACTGGCCAGTGTTTTTCATAATGGCCTTATACACACGTAGCTGCAGCCAATATCTCCGCCACTTTGTTTAAAAAAATTAGATCAGATCAGTTTCAGAAAAGTTTTCATCCACATGAACTTCCACAAAATCCCCTTGAATGTTGTTTTTTAACATGCCAAACCCACAGGGGGCAGTGTAGCACAAAGCTAAAACCTGTCAGCCAATCAAATAGCTTCAAAACAACCATGACTTCCTGTTAGGAGTTAAACATGGTGCTAGGAGGTTCAGATATATAACTTGAACTACTTTAAATAGTAGTTTTTATTTATTAACTTTAAATAAATAAAGTTAATAAAACACAAGATGAATCATGTCATGTAAGTATGTGGATATATTATTTGTCAAAGACTGTAATGTGTGTGACCCTAAATCTCTGTTTTCCCGTCAACACGCAAACACAAAACTAATATGGATGAAAACATTTCCATGGTAACCGGTTTGGAAAATGCCACATTCATTTGTGTATTACTGTAGGAAAACAAAGCTGCATATTCAAATGTAGGGAAATACCGTGACAGCACAGGACTCACCACCTGCGGCATTTTCACATACAGTATAAAACACAAAGATATGAACTTTTTTCATTCATTTATGCATGAATGAAAAAAGTTCATAACCTTTTTGTCATCGATTGACACAATGAGGTGCTGTAGGAGTAAGTCTGTTTTGATGTGCTAATAAGAAATGTGCTGCAGTTTTCATAAAACAGAAACAATCAGGATCAAGGATCTGATCAGAACTTTGATTAGGAACTGTTCCAATACCCAAGATTGGATTAGACAAACAATTGTCATAATGTTCAGAAATTTGAAGCAGCTTGCGGCAAAAACACAATACTCAAGATTCCACATTTTTCAGATTTTTAATTCATTTTTACTTTTTCTCAGATGCAGAATATAAAATACAGCCTCGCATTTTCAGGGCTGATTAATTCAGCATGTAGCTATGAGATATCTGGGACAAAAGTGGCTTCCTGCCCTTTATGCAATGACCACAAGTGCTTCAAAGAAGGTCAAAAGGCCTCAACAAAAGTTGACATTTTCAAAATAACATGCAGGAGTGGAAAATGTGCCCTTGAAAGCAAGGTACTGTGGGAAATCATCAAAGCACGTTGAATTTTAATTATCTGAAACGCTCTGCTGATTCTGCAAGCTGTAAACATAAAACGTCCTCAGCCTGATTGTACAGGGGGGGGAGAGGGCCTGTGTGGAGGGGAATGATGTGAGGCTGGAAAATTGCTGCGTTTACTTATGAACATAGTTGAGGGAGTCAAAGAAAACGGAGCCATCCGCTGTCGGATGGCACTCAGGATTTCAGAGTTCTGAGGCACTTTAGTATTTTTCCGCATGGCTTCAAACTGCAAAGTTAAATCATTCATCACAAGCAAACTCCAACTCAAACTAAATCTTTTTGTTATGAAATCAACCAAGAGAGGGAATGTTTGACAGATAAACACTTAAACACATTAAACCTGTCAAAACACAAATAATTTAGTACCCTGAAACAAAGGTCTATTAAACTCTTCCTTAACAAGACAGATTAAACAAATTTTCATGTCAAAAACTCAATGGTACGCACACAACTGCTGATATGCCAATATGCTAATACACTAATAGCAGAGCTAATTTTTCAAATAAAGTAAAACACGGATATTGGGGAACAAGATAAAAACATAAATGTAATATTTAAGGTATAATAGAAAATGTAAATTATAATATCAAAGTTAAATTGGTAATTGAGGGTTGTAGTCTTTCCAGGACTGATTTGAATTGAAGTTAGCGCTTTAGCAATAGCTTCCACTAAATACAATGTTGGTGTGCTACATTAACAGACCTAATGTTTATGATTAGTGCTTTAGACTTAGTGGAACTAATATTTTTGCTAGCGGAGCCCATCGCAAGTTAGCAAACTTCATGGACCCAGAAGGATCTAACCAAACAGAGCAGCTCTGTTTGGTTAGATCCTTCCTAAGCATAGAGTGACTGAAGTAACAGGCCCAACTTCAAATTCTTTAACTTCTTCTGGGATGGTTGAAACTTGGATACAGGTGGGTGTCCAGCAGGACAGTGACCCCAACCAAACATCAAAACTGATTTTGGACAGATAAAGTAAGTTAACAAAGTTTCTGGAAAACAACTGATTTCAGCTCTTCTGACAAACTGTGGGTTCAATTTCTGTGACAGAAAGCCAATCAATCTAAATTAACTCTAGGACTTCTGCCCACAAACACGCTAGATATCCAACCAGACTATGAAAGAGATTTGCTGAGGGTTAAAAAAACATAAAAATAAAAACTGTTGCATCACCTTTCACCCTGAAAAAAAAAATAAAAAATCAAATTCTTCAATAAATGTTCAAAGTCAATGTGGCATTCAAGGCTATGATGAATGTTTGTAGACTTCTGACCAGCAATGCACTTCTAATAAAAAGAAAAAGGTATTTTATAAACTTTATCTGTTGTTGGTAGATTAAAATGTTGATACACTCAATACACAAAATAAAACTTTGATACTTCCTTTACTATTATTTCACCGATCTTTCATTTAGCATGTTATGCTCTATGTTTTATAATTGAGCTGAATTATACTGTTAATGTTTTTGAATCAGAATCTGATCTGAATATGTTCGTCATTGTTTTCTTATTTTTATCTTACACAATGTAATGAGTTGGATTAACTGAAGTGGTGATATGGAACATCCCATGACCACCCCCAAAGGAAGGTACGTAAGAATGAAGGAGCGTAGAAAACATACGGTCGCTCTATCCGTATGAGCGACCGTATGCTTACCCCCCCGAGATGAAGACACATGAAAGGTAAAACTTGCTACATTTACATGTGCGTGAGGTGAAGGAGCGTAAGGGCGCAGTGAAGTGTATGCAAAGGCATCATTGGGGCACCGCCCCCTCCATACGGGGTTTTGACGCCCCCTCTGGTGCAGCGCCCCTAGAAAATGTTACACTAAGTGAATAAACATGCCTTGCTTTAGTGTCTAAATGTACACACACACACACACACACCCACACACACACACACATGTAGACACATAGACATACAGTTCCTTGCAAAAGTGTAGATCATGAACTTTTTCACATTTTGACCATTCACAAGTACAACATGAAATGCATTTCACTGGGATTCCATGTGACAGGCCAACAACATACAGAGGACACTGTAAGAGTAAACAGTGGTTTTCAAGTTTTTTTTTTTTTTTTTTTACATGGTTTTTAAGTTTAACAATACATACAATACAAAGTCCATAATGTTAATGTATGGACTTAACATTAACATTATGTTAATGTTAATGACTTAACAGTAACATTATGTTAATGTTAATAACTTAACATTATGTTAATGTTAAGTCCATAGGGTACATGGTTTTCAAGTTGTTGTTTTTTTTAAGAAAAAAGAGAAATCTGAAAAGTGTGGCAAACTTTTGCATTTACCCTGCTTTACCATGATGCACCTGAAGACCAAGGAACACAGCAGACAGGTCAGGGGAAAATTGTTGACATTTAAATAAAGGGTTTTCTGGAATTAGTGGCCTTTATTTGCAGCAAACAGGGAATGAGCAGAGAGGGAAAACATGCAACAAATATCCCAAGGTTGGAACTCGAACCCTAGACGGCAGCGCTGAAGGCTAAGGCCTAGTCCACATAGGAGAGTCTTTGTTTTAAAAAGACTCGGCTATGTGTCTTTGTTTTAAAAGACCTTTTAAAATAAAGGCTATGTGTACATTTTAGGAACAAAGTCTCTTCAATCACAGTCTGTGTTTTCTCACTGCTTTGTTAAAGTTACTTTTTAAAAATGGTCTTTTTACCGATAGTTCTTCAAATATCGGTTGAAGAAAAGTGCTCATCCGTACAAATGCACTGAACTACACTTTAAACATGCCAAGTCCATAGGAGGCAGTGTAGGGCAAAGGTAAAACCAAGGTCAGACAATAACAATGCTTCAAAACAACCATGACTTTGTTTTTGGAATTAAACATGGTGTCAGGAGATCCATTTGTGTGGACAGATATATAGATTGAACTACAGAATATAAAGTTAATAAAACACAAGCCTGTCGACTGGGACTTGTGATAAAAGCCAGTATGTGATAATTGAACAACAATGTTCCTCGACTGGGAGGGATAGTTGGTGGAAAATAGCTGACCTCCAAGCGCTCTTTTTCCTTTGCTACTCAACATATCTTGTAAAAGCAAACGTGCAAAAAAACGTCTGAGCCAATGGAACAATCAGCACCTCTCTGATAGTGGCCATCTTTCCTCCATTCATGGCCAAAAGGTAACAACAGTCACACGTCAGCACCACATGATTTTTTGCAGGCTGTTAAGCTTTTACCTCAAAATCTCAGGCCTCCAATGTCCACACGCAAACACAAAAAAGGAGAATTTCCTAATTGTCTGTCCTTAGTTTTTATTATGAATCGTTTTTAATTTAATTCAAATTAAATTCCATGTAATTTGTAAACATCGTGTACAAATTACATGGAAACATTTTTTGCTAAGATTTATCAAAAGGTCATTTTCATCTGTGGAGACTTTAATATTGACATGGTGAATCCAAACAAGGTTAAAAGTACAGCTAACTTTATCGATACTATGCATATTTTAGGTTTATATCCACTAATTACTAAACCAAGTAGAATAACAACACAGTTCAACCCTGATTGACAAAGTATTTACTAATTGCATGGAAAGTAAATTGAGAAGTGTTTGTTGTCCTAGAAGAGGTTTCCAGAAAAATAAATGAGGTCACCAACATCACAGAAGACTCAATAAGAGCATTAAGAAACGAGTTACAAGCAGAGAACTGGAAAGTGTTCTATAAAGAACAAAATATTGATAAAGCTTTAGAGATATTTATCAAAATATTTAAAGCATTTTACGATAAAAACTGTCCAACTGTACCTTGTAATTACAGGCAAAAAAAAAACAAAACAAATATAAGCCATGGATTACTAAAAGGATTACAAAACACATGTAAGAAAAAGAATAATCTATATAAACAATTTATAAAATATAAAACGTTTGAAGCAGAGCAAAAATACAAAACTTATAAAAATAAATTAACTATTATTATGAGAAAATGTAAAAAAAAAGAATATTATTATAAAATATTAGAAAATAATAAACAAAATATTGAAGGAATTTGGAAAACTTTACAAAGCTTGATAAGAAAGAATTCTTCTAATGCTATTCCACCTAAATACATTATTTATAATGACAAAACCCTAAATGAAATAGTTGAGATAGTAAATGGATTTAATAAATATTTTGTAAATGTAGGGCCTAAGTTAGCTGAACAAATAAATAAATCAAACCCACTGGATGTGGATACACTGTAAATTTGTATAAAACAAAATGCATCATCTATGTACCTGAAACCTGTAGACAAAATTGAAATTAAGGAAATAGTTAATCAATGTAACAATAAAAAAACCAATAGACTGGAATGAAATTAACATGTCACTTATAAAAAAGATAATTGATGATATTGCAGACCCGCTGACTTACATCTGCAACTTGTCATTCATAA